CCCTGTGAGGCTCCGGCAGCCATGGGGGCCATGGGGCTGGCGACCGGCGGCTGGGGGCTGAGGGACGGCGGGGGGAGGCTCCGCTCCGAGATAATGGTGCCTGTGAGGGGGGCGAGGGGTGTCAGGGGGGGTCTCGGGTGTCCCCATGGGGGTGTCCCCTTCCCCACGGGGCTCACCAAAGGTCTCAGCGCTCTTGGTCCAGGCATTGAGGTCCCACTGGAATTTCATGTCACCCTGCGGCTCCACGGGGTCCACGATGGTCTTGAGGGCACAGTGGAGCTGGAAGCAGATCTGGGGGGGGCACGGAGGGGGACCCGTCACAAGCTGGGGACCTCAGAGGTCATTGTCACAACGCAGGGAGCCCAAGGGGACATGTGGCAGCCCCCCAGAAGCACCCATTATATCATGGGGACCTTGAAGGGATGCATGGTAGCACCCTGGGGACACTTGTCACATCACAGGGACCCTGAGGGGGCAGCTGTCAGATCATGGTGGCCCCAAAGGGGACATACGACAGCACTCCAACACACCCACCATGCCACCGAGACCCCGAGGGGACCCGTGGCAGCGCCCCGGGGGCAGCCATCGCGTCACCGAGACCCCGAGGGGACCAGATATAGCACCCCGGGCAGTCATTGTGTCACTGGGACCTTGAGGGGACCCACAGCAGCACCCCCGGGGCAGCCATCATGTCACTGGGACCCCAAAGGAACCCGCAATAGCACCCCAGGGCAGCCATCGTGTCACCGGGACCCCAAAGGGACCCACGGCAGTGCCCCAGGACAGCCATCGTGCCACTGAGACCCCGAGGGGACACTCAAGCAGTGCCCTAGGGGCAGCCATCATGTCACCAAGACCCCGAAGAGACCCAAAATAGCACCCCAGGACAGCCATCGTGTCACCGAGACCCCAAGGGGACCTGCTGCAGCACCCCAGGGCAGCCATTGTGTCACCAAGACCCCAAGGGGACCCAATGTGTCACCCTGGTGGCACCCGTCACGTCCCAGGGACTGGCAGGGACCTGCTGTGGCTCCCCCCCTTGGTCAGGGGGAACTCCCATTACAGCACGGGGACCCCCAGGGGACCCAGCATGTCCCAGGGACCCCGCTGCAGCACTCTGGGGACATGCAG